GTGCCAAAGATAGGATCAACCATATATGAGACTATTGGGATTTCTTTCTTGTATTTGGCCTTGTTATTACTCTGTTCTGGGCTCTCCCACCACAAGTGGTAGCTTCTTCATCTCATCCAGTTAAGGAACTGCTGAAGAGGTCTACACACAGCCTAAAAATGGTCATTTTCGGTGTGGGAGGAAGCAAGTAGTACTCTTAAAAGGCACATAACTTCTATTGGTAATTTTGCAAACTTCATCAAATACTTAGTAATAATGTCCTGTGATTTTAATCTACTGTTTCCAATCCATTAAAAAATAATTATGGATTAATTCACCCAAATACATTCAGTTACAACAGTAAATGGAGAAGAAGAAAAAGAATTTTTTCACTTTTCTTTGTCTGTAAGGGTTTGATCCAGTTGTAGAAGAATGGGAGGAAGGTTGCCTACTTCTTGAAAAGTCAGAGCATTTCCAGTAAAACTGGAAAGGAGGAAATTGTGCAAAGGTTGGAGGAAGAGAAGAGGAAAAGTTGTCTGGTTCTCTAGAGGTCAACCACACTCTGAGTGATCGATTGAGTGATTAGATTTGATCTGTTGCTGCTATCTATGGAGCAAACTTCACATCCATCTTACAGACCAGTTCATCTGAAAATTTATTCGGATAAACTGCTGTGTTTTGTTCTGCTGTGACACACACAGAGAAAATTAGTATGGAGTCTTTCTTGCTAAGTATCTACATCTGCTATGGCTCATCCCTGGCTTCCTGATGAGCATACAACTACCAGATGTTATCTGAAGAGTGGCTTGTTGGCAGCTGGATAGCATGGCCAAGGATTGATTGCTAAGCAGTATCACTTGTCAAAATATATAAGCAATGTTAACGTTACTCAGCATTCTATTTTTTTTTTGTCTGCAGTCTTAAACCCATAAATAATGCAATGAAATTGTAACATCTGAAGGAATATAGCAAGCTTTGTTGCACTGAATGAAAATGGCATAAATGGGGAGCATCTGTCATATTTTTAAAACCAGTAGTTATGGTGTTTTTCTTGTCATTCAAATTGCTTTCATATAGTTCTGCATTTCTCCATCAAATCTCACAGTTATATGTGAATTATAACATATTAAGATGATGAAAATATTAGATGTTGAGTTGTTTGCAGCACTGGAAGACAAAACAAAATATTTACATGACATGAATACAATACAGCACATCAGTTCTTGGCAGCAAGACATTATTTTAAGCAGTGTTTTTGTTTGCTAGGTTATTGTAGGAAACATTTCATAGGTGCTTTTTCTTAGACAAGCTTTGAGCCTTGAAAATTAGGATGTAGAAGCAGTGTCTACTCTGAGAGGACGATCCGTAAATGTGTGTTTATCTTAAGACAAATCACTGTCCTACTGATGGCTGACCAGTTCCAAGATTCTACTTTAAAAATGTCTAATTTCATTGAATGCTGGATTTGTACATAACATGAAAGCAGCTCTTTTCTTTCTATAGGGAGAGGCAGCGAGGAATTTTTCCAGAAGGGCTAAATGTATGTTGTTTTCTGACCTTGATTCTGTTTTATCTCTATTTTTGGTAAGCTGGACAAAACCAAATACATTAATATTGCTTTATCACCAGGTCTAATACCAGCTCAGTCTTTGTCCCTCAGTCTAAGTACACTTGTGCTTCTTTGTAGACTTAAAGACTGGCATAGTCTTCTTGAAAGCTGTGGGGCTGTGAGTGAAAACGTGCCTATGTTCCCTAATGTTCAGAGAAAGCAGTTTTACAGTGCCCTTCGAGCTTGTCCAGATATACTTCTGTAGTTTATATGGTTGGATTTTAAGTGTCATTAATATCTTTTGGTTTTTTCTTCAGAATTCCTTTTTCATTGCTGGAGTTCAGTCAGGAGAAAATATCTAACAGGACTAACATCGCTCTTCTTGTGAATAAGCAAATTGTGCAATTTGCTTTGTAAAATCACTGACCATGAAATATTCCCTCCTTTGGACTCATCTCAGAATCCTAAATCTTTCTTTTTGTTCTCACACCTGAAATCTTTGCTTATGACATGGGCATCCACCACCATGAATGCTGCAATTTCTTCTCTGTCTGTTCTTTCCTTACTTTCCAGCCTAGCAAAAGGTTGCAGTGGAAATCATGTGTCTTCCCTACAGGTGGACCAGATTTCTTCCTCTTCAGTATTCCTGTTCTGGCTTCCTTTTACCTTAAGTTTAGCTGCCACTTCTCCTCAAGGTCCATCCCGTGTCTCCACTAGCATTTATCCCTTCTTCTCATTTCTCTTCATTTTCCTTTTCACTCCCTTTACCCTGCCTAACATTTTCATTTTAACATTCCTCTGTGCTGCTTTAATGCTGCCCTTCAACATGAGTCAGAACTTCCTGCTAACAGCAATACACAATGCAGTTTTATTTCCATTTAAACTATCACTTCTATTGCAAAGCCCACTAATGATAATTACCCATGTAATAAAACTAAATATTTTGCATTTAAAAAAAAAAATAAAAACACATGTGGTATTCTAAAATTAAAGGCCTCTTGAGGTAGCCATCTGCGGGGCATCACCTCTTGAAAATCTGGTGCCTTTCTTTCATTCACCTGCAGGCTGTCATTCATACTTGAGCAGATAACCACACATTTGTGGCACGCGGACTCCCGGAGAAGGGGAGATGCTCCAGTGCCCTGCCACAGGTGGGTACATGCCTCCCCATGGATGTGCCTGGTCCAGAGCTCCAGCTGAAAGGCGTGATCCCCAGCCACAGCGTAGCCTTACCGACCCTCCCTTGTCAAACAGCCCCACGTGCTTCCCTGCGTACACGGACTAGTGCATGTTAGCAGAGAAGAAACTGGAGACGTGTTGGCCATATAGATAGCAGGACTCTGTTCTCAGTTAGTCTGATGTGAATATGTGTTCACGAGTTTATTCTGTACCTTGATACTCTCTGTAAGGGACTATGCTTCTCTCCCATTCCTTGCAGGGTGGAGTATGCAGTCAACCTGTCACATAAATGCCGCTAAGTTCCACCATCCTAAGTTTTCACTATGGCAGTTCAACAGATAAACACATATATTACAATCTGAAATGAGATAGATCCAAATACTTTTTCTGCCATATTTTTTTTTCAAGCCAAAATCAGAAATGTTCTTTCTTTTATCTCTGTCTTCAGAAATGCATCTTTTGTCCGTTGCTCCCACTCACCAGCGTTTAGCGAGAGCCATCCTGGTTTTAGCCAGCGCGGGTTGGAGGAAGCGTGATGTTATTAGACACAGCAGTCTGTCCGCCTGACAGTACCACCAGAGAGGAACCTGTCAGGAATGTCTCCGCCAAAAAGTATTGCTCAAAGGGCTCTTTGTCAGGTTGCTTGACACTTGCTCATGGACTATGACTAACATTGCCTCTTAAAACACTCTGTATGTTTATTTTATAAGCCATATGGCCCAAACTGGCCTAGTGTTATATAGGTGTGAAAGAAAGTCTGGATAAATTTAATTACTTTGGACTTCTGAGCTTTACAGTAAAAAGTTTCCATGGTAATGTAATTACCATTATGTTTTATATAATTTATCCCTATTTCCCCTGGTTATTTCTAGATTTTTTTCCCCTCTTTTTTAAAAAAATGATGTTTTCAGGATAAAAGCCACCTAAATAATTAGTCCTGCAAAACTGTTGTTGTGCGTATTATACCTGAAACCAGATTTGAAATACGTGGCTGTTAGGAGCTGAGAGATTTCACCTAAGGGTTTTGCTAATGGATCACTGGAAGCCTGTGAATATATATCTTTCTGCTCATGTGGGAACTTTGCAGAATAGTTAATAGAATCTGAATTAGTAATCCTCACTAATGAGTTAGACTCTTTTCCTTTTGTAGTCCCTTTAACGCTTTGTACCTGTTTAAAATGGTATGTATACAAAATAGTAGGTAAGAACCTTTGAGATGAAAAAAAAAGATTTAAATATGGCTGGGCTATCAGTTTCCCTTTACAAGAGCTTTCACTCAGTGAAGTGCTGACTGTGGTAAGCATGCCACACGGTAAGCAAACATAAATCTTCTCTGAGCATAGTTTTCTTAAATTATTATTATTTGATTTTATAGAAATATTTTCCTGTAGTTCTGCTGTAGGTTTCTCGAAGAAGTGGTAACCAAATTCTTAGGTGACTGTTCCTGGAAAAGTAATGCAGGGGTTGTGCTCAGAGGATGATGCAGCCTGGGTGTTTAAAATACAATGCAGGTCTGCCTTTTGTGTGCCCTTAATCTGAAACCGGGTAATGCGTCAGTATACATTGACTTGTTATTTCACAGGCTGACAAATAATTGTATGGACTTGTTCTTAGGGATGCACTTTCTTAGGCATTTTGTCTTACAATCAGTGATTCAAATGTCATCAGATAACATGCACATGATCATGATATAAACCATGCAAAGCTTGCAGTTTCTTTTCTCTGACATAAATATTTCATCTGTGCCAAAGATGCAACGTAATACAAAGAAATGACAAAACAAGAACATATCAAGGAATGTACACACAAGCATGTTTCTTAGCTCAATTTAAATGAACCCATGCATAAACCAGGAACATCTGAAAATGGCTGTGAGCTCTATCCTGATTTTTACCTTACAACATACTGAAAAATGATCTGTGATGCAAAAAGGTGGTTATTTTTGGCAACCTATATCAATTTCCTATTCACACAGCAACTGGTGGCAACTAAAAATAATCCTGTTTTAGTACCAGCTAAGAATCTGGTCACATTTGGCACACGAACAACATGCACAAATAAAATTTAAGAAAGATCCCTTGTTCTGTTATTTCATTCCAGCTCGCTCATCAAGCTTAGTTTGCTGCCATTTGAAAGCTATTGAAAAGCCATTAACTGGCAGGACTGTGAGAGCCGCAGTGCAGCAGCACACCTCAGTGCTGGGAGAATGTGGCTGCAAGTGCACACCAATTAAATCTTTCTATTCCTGGGGATGTGGGATTAGGAGCGGTGTCAATCAATTGTGCTACAATAGCACGTGCAGTAGTCATGGTTCAAGACGCACAGAGGTTTATCATAACTCCAGCAGTCGGGTGAGGATGACTTGGAAGCCTCTGCAAGATCCTGGAACTGAAACTACGTTAAATAATGTATTCTGAGGTATACTGGATACCTGAGGAAGGGCTCTAAATAATGCATTTTCTGGGCATGACAGTTGTAGCAGAAGAGAACGCTGAAACCTGTAGCAAGACTACAGCCTGAGATGAAAGAATGTCTCATTACCATTTTATCAAATGCTGTAAGTAACAAAACGACTATTTTGATTTTAAAACTGTCTTTTTATTTTCTGAGGTGTGCCTTTTCAATGCATATGCAAAAAAGTCGAAGGCAGATGCTGCATAATGTCAACGTGGTAGAGGGGAAGGGGAGTTGTTACTTTGCATGTGAATATGCAGGCAGAACACAGTGTTTCTTTCTCCTCTGTTCAGAGGCAACTTCATTGTGTGTGTGATAACGCTCTCATTTTGAAGTTCATAGTGATCAGGTTTTAAAACTTTTGTTTAAATTAATCACCGAAGAAAATAATATCCAAAAAGAAGATACATGTCATTCTTAGCATTAGGTTAAAGATGCCTATAAGGACAACCTCGGACATGGCTCTCACACTTTACAAGGGTAATACAAACGAGAATACCTTCATAAATTTGAGCACATATCGTCATCTATTGTAGATCTAATACTTCTATCCCCTCCTTATCAGGATATTTAGCTATTTGGTGTGACAGACTTAAAAAAAAAAAAAGAACTTTTAACCTTGAATCATGCAAGCTGCCTCCTTAAAAATTGAAATTAGGATCTATGCTGAATGTATTGATTCAATGCAGAGCAAATTCCTAGCAGCATTTTTCTTTCTTTTTTTTTTTTTTTGGTCTATCAAGGCTGCTTGTCTTCCTAGCTGCACATTTTGTGAGCTTTTTGGGTTTACCTTTTAAAGCATCCAGTCTGAGTGGAACTTGCTGGTTTTATATCAGATAAATGAATTATTGTTTAGATACTTGTTTTGGACAGTCAGTAGTAGTTGTTAGCCATGGGTATTTTTTACTGCAGGACTTGGAAAACTTTTGACTCCTAGTGATTATGTCACTGGTTTTACATGACAAATAGCAGATTGCTGTAAAAGGTTTTCTCTCTGGACTGTGGTCTTTGATGACTTAAGTGTACCAGGGACATTTCTGAAACTGTTTTTAAAATACTGTGTTACAGTTAAGAAATGAGTAATGTGGTTCTTTGACGTTTTAATATGAAATTAAGGTGCCCTGGAATTATTTTAGTAATTGAAGGATAAATGATTTATGAGGGTTTCCTCTTGTCTGGATTCAATGGGACTTGTGTATGGAACCGCTTTTAATACTGGTGGGAGTTACAAGCCTAAATTCCCTGTTTCATGCAGAGAAGCACAGATTAGGTTTACTGCATAGTTTTAAAGGTGCATTCTAAGAATAAGTCTTTGAGCACATCATGAGATTTGATAAATGCAAATGAGGAATTTGCGGCATAATAACTCTCTTGAAGATGTCAGAAAAGTATTGTTCAGTCTTTATTCACGTTGGAATTACTTTCTTAAAGTGAAACTGCAGCGAATGTATACATGCGTGCGTGTGTGTGTGTTCAGTAGCATATTAAATATGTAACTCTACAATGAAACTATAGGTTCCTTAATTGGAAAGAGATGATGATGATCATGAGGTTCTCTCATTAAAAGCAAGAGAATGACGACTACTTGGGATGTTCATTGCATTGGTTAGAGGGCAGGGATGAAGGACTAAAACACAGCAGAGGGGAAAGGTGAATGTACAGCATTAGTTTTGGCAGTATTATTTGTTTCCTCTTTTCCAAATTTGGAATTTTGTAATTAATGATTTCTCACTAAATCAGGTTATTTTACCACATAGCACTTTTCCTTCCAAATAGTGTGCTTTGGAAGCCAATGGGTGCTGGCTGGATCCTGCCAGAAGGGCTGCTTACTGCCTGTGCTTCTCCGTACGGAATTAGCAAAAGTGCTTCCATCTCCACCTGTAATTAGTGATGGGGAAACCCTTCCTCCGTCATCCTCCCCTGAGCCTTACCATTTGTCTTAACGTGCCAATACTGGTGCTGGTGTTTGCGTTTGGCAGACAACTGAGATCAACTATGGGCCGTGGCTGCATGCAGGGTGGCGGCACCAGCGACGTTCTGAGATCTGCTGAGAGCAGCTGAACCTCACAGCGGTTGAGAAGGGACCCTTCACACCCCGCTTTGTTTTTAATCCATTTCACCAATGATTTCTGTATCGGAAGGAAAAGAGATTGAACCAGAGGAAGGGTGTTTGCAGAGCACTGGCTCTTGGTCTGCTTTGGGGAGTGGGGAAGTGTCTAAAAGACATAAATTCATGGCACTTTAAAGCTAGTATTTTATGAACTGTAGCTCTATGTGCCTGGCTTTTGCATATGTTTGCACTTTGTTTTTTCAGTCTCTGCAGAGATTAAGTGTGGAGATCTGAGCTGAAAAGGGCTATAGCTGTTCTCCTATGGCGTTAGTACATTTTTACTAATATTCTTGCTTTTTTTCAGTGCACCGCTCCCACTAGGAGGCTGTGAAAACGAGCCATAGTGTCACCGTCTTGTCATAGCATCTTTCAAGGTCCAACCTTGGGAGGTCTCTAGTCCGCCCTCCTGCTGTAAGCAAGGGCAGCTGTGTGGTCAGACGAGATTGTCTGGGGCCATGCCCAGTGAGGTCTTTCATCCCAGTAATACTCTGGAACAAGGCCTGCTGCAGCCGTCATGTCTTCAGCTGGCACCTGCAGCATTTAAAACACAGGCCGTACGCCCGTCTGCCTGTTTGAGCAGCTCATGTTGTCACTGCTAGTGCCCATCTCCTTTTTGCAGCCAAGTACCATTGCTGCCGAGAGTTGGCCCTGTCTGTGCTTCTCCTTGGCAATCAGCTAGCATAAGCTATTTAGAACAGAGAACAGTGGTACGTAGGAGAGTACCACATGTTATCTGCCAGCTGCTGGGTACCATTTTATCTCGATGATTTGTGTGACAGACTGTACAAATGAACGTAATTTTGCAAATTAGGCAGCACCTTGCTGCTATCTTCTCTCCTTTGTATATCCAGTTACGACATAAACATCATCATTTACATGTTATGGCTGTGGTTTTCCACCTGTGCTCTGGACTTCCTCTGAGGGATCTGCAAAGGAAACTGAGAAAAGCAGTCAGGAGGCTTAAATTCATTACTCGAGAGTCTGATTTCCACTGCAAATGTTGTAGAGGTGCACAAATGCAAACCAAATTAAAACCTCGCTAAGGAGTTATAGTCATGCCAGCTGAAAATCTGAGCCAAGTGAATTTATCCAAATATTAGGATCATTGAATCTGAACATCAGAGTCTACTTCCATTCCTTCTGGATTATCTCTGTTTCTAATTCCTTTATCTCTTTTGTATGAATTATGAAACACTGAATTGTGCTGTGTTACAGACCAATACTTAGAGAGATCTGGGGTGAAAATACTAATTAGATGTTTATTGGTGAATTAATTCAGGCTTTGAAACAAGATACAAAAGAAATATAATAATTCTTTCCAACATCTAGCCCTTATTACCTTCAGGATCTGAATAAACAGCAAGGATTGTCCATGAAGAAAATTAATGAGAGTAGAAGATGCATTGAAAGATTTGGCCTTTAAATTTTGTTATATCATCTTCAGATATCTTGTAGTCTGTACTGATTTATTCTTTCTTTTCTCTGCCTCCTAATCATAGTATTTAAGAAATCCATATACTACAGGGGTATTTTCCTTGCATTAAAAAAAAAAAAATTGGTCTTGACTTTAGTCTGCAATGCCAGAGACCTTAATCACATACCTTGTCTTGAAAGGCTGAATGTAACGTACTTACAGATGTCATCTTGAGCATTTTTCACATTAATTCACAGGGTATTTGGTAACAAAATTACCATCAAATATGAATGAAAGAAGAGTAAATTCTGTAGATTATTGTTATGATTTCCATTTTATTTAATTTCACCCCACTTTTCCATAGCTTTCAATGCATTTCAATGCATTTTCTGTTTCAATAAAAGTATTAACCGCTAGAACTCTCAACTTAGTAGGACGAGCGTTACACCTGTGGTGGTGCCTGTCCCTTTTCACCGGAGTTTAGGGACAGACTGCATTAGCACCTTCCAGGATACTTCAGGGGAAAGAGGCATATCATCCCAAACTCTCGTTTAGCACTTTAAATTCAATCTGAGTGCTTTTGCCAAGGGATTCAGCCGTTCTCATGTCACCCAGACTCTTCTGAGGCTCCAGCCATGTGCCACAGCGATAGCTCTACTTGAACCTTATGCAGCTTGGAAAGAGGTGGGAGAAGATGTGATGTGATGTGATGTGATACATTAGTTTTAGTTTACAGAGGATGGGGACTTGAGCTTGATTCTGCCGTGGATGAAGAGGCAATACTGCAGGTGATACACGTGATACCTTCGTGTCAGCTTTCTTACTGCCAGACAGCCTGCGAAATTTTCATCTGTGTTTCAATAGAGTGAGTTGTGGTAGCTTAGACTGAATAAGAGGAGGAGCCTGAAAAGAAAAATTGGAGACCTCTAGTTGGTCTGCGATACAGAAACCCTTTGCCTCTCTGATGGCATGTGTGCAGGATGTGTAAAGTAAAGATGACACATAGGTGTTCTGTCACACTGGACAGTTAGTGAGGTGAGAGAGCTAGCAGAGTCTTCAAAGTGTTTTCTCCTTCCCATGAACAGGATTTCTTCTATTCCAGGTTGTGCAGGAGGTGGTATTCATTTATTTAGTCCATTTTATGCTGTCCCAGAGAATTCTCATGTCCTCTTGGACGTCCTCTGCCACTGATGAGGAGCTCAAGTAAAAAATATGCAGATGGTAGGAAGGAGAGCAGTAAATACAAGCAGAATGTCCATACCAGTCCCTATTTATCAGCCATTCCTTTAGTTTAGGTTGATACTTCATGATGGTGTCAGCTACCTCTCGTGTCACAGTTTATTTCTGCAATAAGACAGCTAAGTACAACACAGCTGCAGGGAAAACTTCCTTTTCCTTGTACATACTTATGGCATTCTGACCTATGGCATAAGGTTAAGATTATTACTGAAATGAGATGCCTAGCATGACGGAGAGACCCTGCCTGCTGAAAATGAAGCTGGGAGGAAGAGGCAGGAGTCATCTTCCCCGGGAGTCCAGAAAGAGCAAGAGGAGCAGCTGTGTGCGTTGAGCCACTGCT